ACCTCTAGTCCAGTTTGGTACTACAGAGATTGCCACCAGCAATTTAGCAGACTCACCTGAAACTTTGTATGCACCCACTGAATTATTTTTTAACAGAAAATAATTATAAAATATGGTCAGTGATAGGTTTTCCTATGATTAAAGAGATTAACAAGAAAAGCTGTAAGTACCCAGTCTTTCCTGTTGTCCATGCTCTGTTACTGTAGTGGTACTGTGATGCCTGCCAACCAGATGCTTTTTCTCTACAAACCAGCGTTTCTCCATAGAAAACACAAGCAATTTGGGTGGGCGGGGCAGGGGAGGAAGTGTTTTATTAATTGATTTTCTACCATCTCAAATGATTCTAGCTTGTGTCAATTTGACGTAAACTCACCAGCAAAATATTTGTGTGAAGTTTTATGAGTGCTAAGAATTATAGTTCTGTCTGACGTTAACAAAAATGATGAACAGATCTTAATAAAAATGAATCATTTTTGCACATTATGCAATATTATCTTTATTAAATGGATAATTAGTATGTAGCTTGAGAATCTGTACAGAGAGGTAGAAAGTTTTGACTCAGAGTAGAACCAAAGATTGACAAAGTAAGTACATGAATTATATAATTATTTATTAAGTAAAAATCAATAAAATATTTGATAAACTTCAAGCAGCATAAAAATTGCATATATTCTCAAATATTTGAAGTGGCATTACCTGACAATACTCTGTCGTTATTTGGAAGTATTCTTTGAACAACACCTTGAATAGTGTGAACTGTTTTATACATTTTAAATGAGTACCATGGAGTGCAACACTAAGGATAGAAAAGAGAAGTTTGAAAAAAAAGACAGAAAAGAAAAAAAGAAAAAGACTACAAAGAAGACATGGAGCAAAGATTCCTGGCAGGTTCCTAGCTCCTTGGTCCAAGCATTCCTCAGGATCTAACGACATACTGTTATTGGATTCTTGAACTTCCACACACAATATTCCCACAATGCTAGGTTTATATTTCAATAACATAAGGTCAGATGTTTATTAGCTATTTAAAATCAATAATACCTGATTAGTTTCAAAAAAGATAAACATCTATGAATTAAATACATCCGTAGTCGAAAGATATTAAGGAAAACACAATGTCATTTTATATTGTACTTAGCTTTTATTCAATACTTACAGTATTATAAGCACTTATGGATGCCTATAAGTGTTTAGGAGTATTTATGGTCATAGTGCACACTGTATCTATGCAGCAATGCCTTGGTTCCTGCAGGTTGAAAGCCTTGGCTCAGCATGATCCCAAACTGAACTCTCACCTTTCCCCTCCCACCTGGGTTCTCATTTTAATACATATTCCCCTTGGTTTAACCCAATTCTTTTATCCCCAAAATAACATTCCATGAAATTTTTACAAAAATAAACAAAAAGGAAAATGACCCTTTACTGCATCCACCCACACCCATCTCATCACCAACTGTGGAAAGATCCCTTTCCCAGGGAATTTGCACCTTATGCATCCTCTCCAAGCCATCATTTTGTCAAAGTGGGGTATTATAAGATGTCACAGTGTTTCTGCATAACTTGTTTTCATATCTCAGGACTCATGTTCTGGTCTCCATGAAATAGGAAGAATCAACAATATAAAAACAAATCCAATCTGATCACATTTCCTTTCTCTTCAATACCTTCTACTTGGCACCATGAGTAAGCCTGTCCTTCCTGGCGAATTTCTTTACTGTTCTCCTCACACATTCTGTTCCAGCTCTCATCTTACTGATCCCCCCCACCCACACCACAAAAAGATTCAACTTCATAATGAATGCAATTGCTGATTCTCCTACTTGGGATGCTGTTTATAAATTAGCCCTTTAGCTTACACACCATTTCCCTGAGTCAGCCACTATACTCAAATCTAAGAGACTTTCCCTAACTGCCCATCCTGTGGTACTCAACCACCCCCATCTCTGTCCAGAGCTTTACCTTGCTTTCCTTCACTTACTTATGTGCGTTTGTTTCTTAAGACCGCCTAGTAAAATGCCAGCTTTATGAAATAGCTGTTGATCATGTTCATTTGCACATCTATTCCCAGGATCTCAGAAAAGAACTTAAAATAACGGAGGTCCAGTAAGCAAAGGTGTGAGACAGTAACATGGCCTCGCTGTTTTAGTCTTCCTGAAGGCCACACCTTTCTGGGTTTTTCCCATTCAGAATGTTGTGCTTATTTCCACAAACCCCTTGTGCTTCTGCAGTTTCCTCTTACCTCATACTCAAAGCTTAATTCACCATAAACAGAAACACACATGATGAACTACAATTCTCTTGGCCCATTTTCTTCTCTTCCAAAGTGCTACATATACCATAGAAGATTTCAGTTAATGACAATGAAATTTTCCCTCTCAATTTAGTGTTTTTGGTGTGTGTGTGTGTGTGTGTGTGTGTGTGTGTGTGATATGCATGCATGTGTGGGATCACTCATCCTTGCATGAACATGTAGAGAACAGAAGTTGATGCCCGGAGTCTTCCTCTATCATTCTCCATGTTAATTTTGAGGCAGGGTCTCTCAGTAAATCTGGAACTTAACTCTTTTACCGAGATTGGCTGGTCAGCAAGCCCCAGCAGCTGCCAGGCTCTACCTCTGAGCTTTTCAATTAAAGATGTGCACCACATTCACACAAGATTTTATATGGATACCTGAGAGGCACACACAGCTTAGACAGTAATGTTTTACTCACCAAAGAATCTACTCATCCCTCATTTTAAATATTTGAATGATCTGACTGAATAAATATACAATGCACATAACAATTGTGGGCCTCCAAACTTTTTTAAACATGAAAAGTTATCCTATCTTCCCCCATGTTTTTAATTTACCACGCAGTAAGGACTTATTTTGTAAATAATATGTCTCAGGTAAAAGGTGTCAGATTCCTGATAAACTTTGTGTCAGCTTAATTACAAGCTGAGTTATGTTTTCTGACTTTGCATTAATGTCTAAGTTTGTAGATAAACTTTGTGTCAGCTTAATTACAAGTTGAGTTATGTTTTCTGACTTTGCATTAATGTCTAAGCTTGTAAACATCAGTGTCTTATATATGAAAGATATTTCAGATGAATGTATTTTGTCAGTTCTATTAGGATTTCCATATTTAATCTTCCTTCAGTACTTAAGATATTTGTCAGTGTTTTATGTTAAAGCAGTAACATCATAGTTAAAATGTACTCAGCATTAAGGATTTGTATCTTGAATGGAACCTATCAACTATGATCACTTTATTTTGGGATCACATTTTGACTATTAATTAGCCAGTGTATAATGATTTATATGATTTTAGTGCCCAGAACATGATAGCAATTATTACTGAAGGGTTTAAATTTAATGAGCAATGATTTGCAGAAGGCATTTAAGAGGAGGGCATTTGTTGGTAAAATGAAATAAATGCTTAGATTACAGGATGAGCATACTAGAGAGATTAAAGACACACTAATGCTTTTTGTAGTGTGTTTCTAAATGTATTTATTTATTCTTATGTGAGTGAACGTTTGTCTGCATGAATGTATAGGCACCACATACATACTTGGTGTCCTTGGAGACCAGAAGAGAATATCAGATCCCCATGGAACCAAAATTACAGAGGCTTGTAAACTGTCATATGGATTCAAGGAATCCATCCCAGGCCCTCTGTAAGAGCAGCATGTGCTCTTAACTAGTGAGTCATCTCGCCAGTCCCAACAATAATTCTTTCTTATCGGATAATGGCCTGACTTGTGTCATTTCAGTTTAAAATAATAGTAGAGTATTATGATTACAAAATCCTGGGACACAAGTAAGAAATTCCCTTTCCAAGCTTCATAATACAGCAGAAGCAGACATGGAGGGTACAACAATGTGACTACTGGACTAGTGATTTTTTCAAAGCAAAGTCAGAGGATCCTAGAAGATACAAGATGATCTGGACCTACAGAGGGTTCATGCCTCATAGCCTTATCCCATGGGCAGATTAGCTGCTGTCTTCATAAGACCAGTTATGTCTGCTTATACAAAGACTGCCACAGCTGGGCCAGTTGAGTGCTGATGTTCTCTCATAATGGGAAGGGTTATTGGAAGCTCACCTGAATATCCAGTCACCCCTCCAAGCCAGTTGTATGCAATTTTGCTCTAATTGCATGTGGGTTTCAGGTTGGGGGATGGGCTGGATTACACAGCCTGGAAAGGACTTGGTGAAGGAGACTCCACTTAAGAAGCTACAGGAAAGCCATCATCTAGGCTGGATGAAGACTTTCCAGTATGGCTGCTCTGTGGTCACCCATGTTCCTGTTAGTAACACCTCATCATGTCCTATAAGTAAGTCCAATAGACTCATGAGTGCCTCAGGAGGAACTTTAGTGGGATGGAACTTTTGTTTGTCCCTGGGACCTTTCAAAGAGGTGGAGGAGTGGACACCTCTGGGTTCTCCCCAAGGAGAAAATTCTGGAGAAAGGAAAATGGGAGGAGGGTACTTAAAGATACTACATTTCCTGTTTATGCTATACATTTCAATTCTGGATGGCAATCACATATCTTTCAAATGGTCAGCGAAAGGGTAAGCCATAGAAATGGTAGGATATCCATCTGTGTATACAGTGTCTACATTGATGCTCCTATTTATCAGTTTTCCCCTAATGTTTATTAGGTTCCAAGCAAATCCTATAGCCATATATTATTCATATCATGCTTATAATAATTTATCATTATTTCCAATTTGAAAGCTGATCAAACTCTATAAAGATGGGATCAACTCAGCAGAGTTGATTCTTGAAACACAAGGTATTGATGTCACATACACTGCAATGATGGCATCTATGAAGTGAAAACTTTTTTTTTTCCCCTTAGTGTTCACACGTAAATCCATGGCTTGACTTCTGCTGAAAATGACATTTGTATGCTGCAACTAATATTACCTTCTACTTTCATGGAATGGAGTCTACCTTCTGAACCAGTAAATTTAGCTTTTCCTCTCTATAGATTTCTTGGGGGTACTTACGTATTCTTCATAAGCCTCGTGGGCTGGAGGTGGGGGTGCTCTGTACCCGGGTACTGCTGCGGCCCCACGAGCACGAGGTGTAGGGACACCTCTCGCTATTGGGGGCACTGGAAGAGCTCCACGGGTCACAGTGGTCCCCCGAGGGGTAAGAACACCTCGTCCAGGTGGTGGTGGTGGAGGAATAGCACCCCCACGGCCCCTACGAGAAATAAGTAACATGCAGATGAAGGAAAAGAAAGACAGGAAAGTAAGTGCCCAGCTCACTGGCTCCACACAAACTGGTAACCAGAGTGATGTCACTATGTGGTTACAATAGCTTGAGTTTCGCATCACTGATTTATTACCATGCCGTCACTTCCAGAGATGGTGAAGTCACTGACATATTTTCAAATGGTCTTCAGGGCTGCTGAACTAATGCCCAGCAATGAGAAGGCTGAATGAATGCCCTGGACCACAGACTTAACACAAAAGCGATCTGAACAAAAAGCATGAGATCAAAGGAGGCAGCCATTTTTATGACATTCTGAAACATTCAGAAAGGATGTTTATCTGAAATCTTTGGATAAATACATGGTTATTTCACTTTTTATTATGTCTGAAAGTTGACCTCTAGCAAGCACCGCTATCAGCAGGAACACTTAAAGCTTTGGGGAAAATGATGGTCTTTGAAACGCCAACAATCATAGTGTTCAGCTGTAGCATCACAAGGGAAAGTGGGGTTACCCTTTCTGCTCTGAATAGCCATCAACTTGCTCTTTTGTCCTGGAAGAAAATGAGTTTTGGAAGTGAAGAGTAAGAATGCTGGTAGAGCTTTTAAAATTCTTGGCTTACCCAGCCTATGAGTAGAGAATATACAAAACAGTAGCCTAGCGTGGAGGACATAAAGGGCCCAAAGCTACAGTGCCAGCTTCAAGTATAATGGCCAGGAAGACGAGCTAATGTCATCACACAACAGAAAAATATCTGTGCAGTGCAATTCCCTCAGCTTCTGAGTTGTTCACATGTGACATGTATGAACTCATGGGGTCCAGCTCTTGATGATTTGGGGGGCTGTAGAATCTCTAGAATGAAGAGCCTTGCCGGAGGAATTAGTTAACAGTGGACAGGGTTATAGCCCAGTCCTGTCCACTCTTTGCTTTCTGCTCTGATGAGAGACACAGGAGCAAAGCTCTCCCAGCCACTGGTTCCCATCACGATAAGCCATCTTTCACGGTACCTTTCCAAATATGATGGACTGCATCCCCTTTCCACTGTGAGTCAGAATAAACCTTTCTTTCCTCCATTCAGTTGCTTCTTGCTGGGTGAGTATTTGCTCAAAACAACAAGACAAGTCACTAATACAGCCTCCAAGTGCCTGTTCCTCACCAGTAACATATTCCCAGGTCTGACAACTAGTGTAATAATTCCTGCTCAGTTTAGCATTTTAATACTATCAAAATGTCGATGTGTTGATAATAAACTACATGTGCTGGCTATATCAATGAATAATGGTGGGTAAACATTTTAATTACCTAGACCTGAAATAATATTTTTTCCTAATGAGTGGTATCTAGATTTCTAAATCTATATAATGTTTCTGCTCTGCAATTATGTCATGCTCATATTGATTCTGGTTTTTCTTTACATTTCTTTTTCAACTGACTCTTAGCCCCAGCTGCAGCAAAACCTCATCCAGAGTCTGTCTCATTCTCACTTATATGTTCTGTCATTTCCTGGCAGTATTAACACCATTGCCTTCTCCTATTCAACCTAAAACATGCATCATCTATTTTAGGATACTGTCCAAGGCTGAATCCCCGGTGCAGTATTCTTTTAGTTTCTGACTTCTTCAAAGAGCATTTTCTGCATTTAATCTTCACTTCATGTTCATTTCTGAACCAAATGTCATCTCTTCAGGTCTTGTTTTCAGCACTCTGGGAAGACACTCGTCTGAGCCCCGCCAAGCCCCCAGCCTACCAATTTCCTCTTATAGCTCCCATGACCCTGTGCCTCCTGAGTTATATTTAAGACTTCTGCAAACTGTTATCTGGAAACTGTTTCTTCAGACTTTTATTCTTTTCTCTACTCTGCCTCTCTGTATTTCATGTGCTGTTCATTTCTGCCAGCCTTGGGTCACGGGTTTGTGTCCATTGTCTCCCCAGTCATGATTCAGTCCTTTCACCACTTCCTACCCCCAAACCCAGCTAATTGCTTATCATCACATCAATTACTGAGATCCTTTCTAGAAACAGATATGGATACCCTTCTCTTTCAAAACTCCATAAGTTTCACATGTTAGTTCTTAATGTTGTCCACAAAAATCATTCAAAATCTGCCCTTAATGATAATAGTGTTTCATTATTTATTTGATTAAGAAACAAATTGAAACTTTAGAATAAAGATTACCAAAGTCAAGGTCCATTCAAATTTGGCAAATACTCTGAGCCAAAAGAAACATTTTTCCCCTAAGGTTCCATCAAGCACATGATTCCCTGTTAATAACAGAACAGAATCTATTGCTATGAAGCTTTTAAGCTTCCACAATAAGAAAGGTGAATTATTTTAAGTAGTTAGACTCTCAAAGAATACAGAATAAATGTGTGGCTTTGTTTGGTGTCCTAAATATGTAGTTAAAGTATACCTGGCAAACTGCTGGAACTGTTAAAAATGACATTTCTGAACCAAAAAACATGCTGAGGTTCTATTAAGATTACTTGCAAGGATGCTACTTCAGAATCCAACAAAATCAGGCTAGAAATGCAAACATTTTATAAAGACTGGCATCATATGAAGTGTTGGATCTTGTCAGATTGACACGTATCAATAAGCAAATGAGCCAGCCAGGTGTTACAATGATTACTTTTTAGTTTTTAGGATGAAATATGAAGTGCTGGAATTTCTTTCTGGTCTTTTCCTTCAGGTAGATTTAATTCTCCCAGAATGTCTACATTGTTCCATATATATAATTAACTGCTGAGTATTCCACTTGGGAATTCTTATTTTTTTTCTGATAAATGAGCATGGCTTTACAATATTAAATGTAAAAACAGTGGTGTATTCATAATGATTGAAGTGTTTGGGGCATTAATTAAAGTTACAGAATTCTTTAGCACATCTTAAGAAACTTTTATTGTGACAGATGAGTTTTTTTTTTTTTTTAGGGTATGTCCTTTACAAATATGAGTCAACTATACAGAAAAGGAAGTAAATGGATTACACAGCCTGTGTGTGAGCGGTGTGTGTGTGTGTGTGTGTGTGTGAGAGAGAGAGAGAGAGAGAGAGAGAGAGAGAGAGAGAGAGAGAGAGAGAGAGAAGAGAGAGAGAGAGAACTTTTAAACAGAAAAATGTTTATTTTGGCTCCTGTTTCTACAAGTTCTGGGCCATAATTGGGAAGACTCTCGGCTTTAAGGCCTCTGATAAAAGGCCAGACAGAGTGTAGGGGCACCCAGAACTGATATGGGGCAGCAAGGTGGGCAAAGCAGTTGAGCTTGTGGGGACACACGACAAAAGAAAACCCAAGATACACTAACAGTTACAGCACCCTTGGAAGACATTCGATTCTATGACCCCAGACTTCCCACTGTGCCTTATGTTTTGATGTTTCTATTCTGCCTATGGAGTAGATGCTCAGGAATGTTAATCTAAGTGCTCTTTTTTTTTTCTGTTTTGTCTCTGACTTTGGTACTAGAGTATACATAACTCTTTGCCGTTTTGCAAATCAATGTTTTCTGTTAAAAACTTACAAAATTCAGAACCCTACAAAACCAAAAGACTATTATCATCATCAAGGACTTTGCAAAGCCAAATATATGTATGGACTTTGTATAACCATGCTGATAGTCACACCAAAATGAGCTTCTGGATTTTCTTAAGTGATAGAGATATCTAATTCATTTATTAGTCAACTTGACAATATTATATTCTTTCAAGAACTGTATATGGCATGGATAAAATATATAGTTTTATGTCATGCAAAGACTTTCTTGTTTTAAAAATGCAAAGGACTATGTCATCTCTGTATCTTAATCCTGGAAACAGAACAGGGAAATAAAGACTCTCAGGTTCCCACCTTATTTTTTAAGAATAGTTGTTAAGTGCTCAAATTCATGAATTCTGGAGTAAGAATGTATCTATTATTTTAGGTAACATTTTAATATTCTACACAACTTTTGCTGTTGTTTTGTTTTTGAAACTATTTCCACAGCTGGCCTGAAATACACCATGGAGATCAGGCTGGCACTGAACTCACAGAGGTCCCCTTTCCTTAGTCTCTTGAATTCTGGGATCAAAGGCATGGGCTACCATACTTGGCCCACACAACTTTTGTTCCTCAGTTCTTCACTTATAAAAAGTAGTTATCTCAAGTTCAAAAAGATGTAATGAGTTAATGTGTATAATCTCTCATGTGCTAGTTGACCCTCCATGTCTACTGTTTTGCTGTGAGTGTTGATAAGGCTATTGTCATATGTGCTATTTAAGCATCCAGTCTTACTGTCTTATTATGGTGTGAGTGTTGTTGAGATTGTTTAGCTCTGTTTAGAATCATGACACACAGCAGAACAGCAAAGGCCTGTAGTCATCATTTGCTGTTAATATACTAAGAGAGAGAACTCAGGTACCTTGAAGGAGCTATGGGAGTTATTCTGATTCCTCTGCCTCTAAGACCTCGGCCACGGCCAGACTCTTCTGAGCCATTTAAGTAAGACAACTCTCGGAGTTGTTCTTGACGAATTTCATCATTGTAGTCCTAGAAGAAAAAAAAAAACAGAATATGATGAATTACTATGAGACATTGGGTTCTTAGCCCTGGAACACATTCTCCAAACAATAAGAAAGAGGCTGAGGATACAGCTCAGTGATAGAATATTTGTCTAGCATGTGAGGGACCCTAAGTTCTGTTGCCAGCATTTCCAAACAGAAGAAAATCAAACAAGGTAACAATGCTGTGTGGCCAGAGCTGAGTCTAGCTCCATACCTTGCCTCAAAGCTCTGATCCCGGTACTCAAGAGCCTGTAGTAAGAAAGGATGCTCCCAGAGAGTTCCGGGACTGCCTAAGAACATCCTGAATTCTAGGTCAATCTTGGTGAATGTGTAACAAAATAAACAAAACAGCTTTGCCTGTTCCCTTAATCATTATATACAAAACCCCTCAAATGATATTAAAGAAGGTGTAAATCTCTTCAAGCCTCTTATCCCATAGAGAAAATGAAGATGCTTCTTTGATCAAGAAAGTACTCTCCATGACACTGGATTCAATTCTCTTAACTATCACTTTAGGCTTTATCTGAAGAGGGTAGGTAGCAGGGTAGTATCAGTACATGGAAGGTACCTCACCTACAACTGTCAACATCAATGTGATGGAAGATAAAGTGTACTTGGGTGAATATGTGCAGATTATGAGTGCATGCTATTCAAACAGTTCCAGAGTCACAGTGCAAAAGGGAACAGTCCCAAGACCCAGAGCAACTGAGATTGTCTTAGATTCATTAAAACAATGTGCATCCACAAGCTCTGTGGAAATCTGTGGTTTCTCACTGAAAAACCTGGCTTGTAACATTTTCAAATCAAGGAACCTCCTTATGTGTCTTATCCATGGAAAGTGGGAGTCACACATAAATCAAATTTCACAGTCACAACCAGAGACTTGGGTGAAGCACGTGTCATCCCTCAGTCATTTATTTAGAATGACTGAAGTCATTTAAAAAGATAGAAAGTAGGTGTGAGTCATTATAGATGGATTTAACCTTTAATAAAAGTGCTAGCCCTAATTATTTCATCAAATACACATATACACATATACAGGCACACAAACACTCAGTCACAGACACAGATGCACACACAGACACAGACAGATAGAGAGACCGACATACATAAACACACCTTTGTGGAACAATATAAAATGGAGCAGTTGTTTATTTGTGCTAAATTGCCAATATGATCTTTTTCTCTAACACATATTTATGTGATATCCACCTCTGCTATTGTCTGACATTGGAGGAGAATTTATATTCTAAAACTTAAAACTTTTGTAGCAGCTGAGCCAACAGAAATGACATATGAGATTGAAGTCTAGTGTATCAGCAAACAATTCCCATTTAGCTTATTATAAAATTAATCTATGTGTTAAGTGAATTGAAATAAAGAAGCCACAGTCAGCCACACACTTCTACTGTGCAAGGTCTGCGGAATTCTTAATGCACAGCTTTACCTCATGCTCCAGAAACTGACTTGATTACAACCAAAGCGCTAGTCATGCCAAAGTATTTATTTTCTTATTTTCAATATGTTACTTTCATGTTTATCCTCTTCAACACCTGATTATAGTGATGATGGGTTTATCACAGAGGATAGAAGAGCTAGACAGTGAAAACTGCAGTTTCTAAAAAGTCATATATTATTTAATTTCTGCTTCCTAATTTTCATCTTCATGCCCCAACTAAACTGGAGAACAAAACACACATTTCTATCATTTTACTAGGATCAGGAATGCAGAACATTGCCACTGCTGCTGGAGTCGATCAGCCAGCCATCAAAGTGGAACATGAATCCCATAAACTTCACAGGTAACATTGCTGATTACAATGCTGTATCTGAAGCTCCTTCTCTGAGGTAAATCCATATTTTTAGTTCTTATGGATTAAAAAAAGATAGACTGGCATTATTCTGTAGAAGACAGATAGGATAGAACAGCCCCTAGTTCATTCAGAACTTCCTGGATCCATGCCTTTGAAAGTTGTAGTAACCTTGACCTGGCACTGGCTGTGTGAAACTTTTCAGCTAAGTACAAAAGGTAACCAAAGTGACTGGAAAGTACCTGTGTACTGGAACTTGAGTTTTTTGCCATTGGAAACTGTTATATCACAAGGTGGGGGAAGTCTGGCTCAGCTATCTGGAAGGTATGAGAACAAGCGGATAGATTCTAGTCACTCTGTCCCTTCTGCTATCCTTTCAGAGATACAAGAGAGGCCATTCAGAGCCTTGGTCAAACCAGTAGAGACCAGAAAGAAACCTCACTTGAAAATCTCAGAAATCTACTTTGTCCCAGGATAAAGGATAATAACCTGGTAATCAAAGCCATTAGGACTATTGTGTTGATTTGATGTAAGGGTTCCAAGAACAGCGATGATTTGTCAGCACAGGACGTGAGCATTGTGCGTCAGAGGCCGGCTTAAACAGCCATTCTCCATGTATCTGGATGAGAGTTCTTGGACCTACATGTTATCACTTATTTCTTGGGTCAGGTACCACCTCAGATCGAATTCAATGTAGCTGAATAAAAAAAACTAGGTATTATAATAGTTGGAGACATTTACTGAATCTCTTTGTTTAATGTGTGAGTGCACTAACTCGATGGCACGGCTATTTCGCTGCTCTGGAAAATTCTATTAACCAGTAAAGATTTGCCAATCTTGGTTAGATAAATATTTCACACTGAAGAATAATTCTTAATGTAAGAAAAGCCACTATTGACAATATACACCTGGATTCCTTATGGGTTTAGCTGGAAATGTTCCCTTTAAGAGATTAATTACTTTCTAGGTTTATGGTGGCCAAGTGAATGGAGACAAGTAATTACAAGTGTAACTGACCATGAACTGCAGCTGCTACCTTCTGAAATACTACTTCCTCAAGGCCATGTTACTGAGAGCTCCTGATGCTAAAATAAGTCTAAAATCCAGAGGAAACACTGGATTCCTGTATTTTAAGGACTCCCTTATGGTATTGCTGAACTCTCTTTTTACTTCCGCACATCAGAGAAGTCCAGAGACTCACACTTCTCTTTCCATGGTTTCAGACACTGTGTGGAAGAACCCTCCTTATTTTCAATAACGTTTTGATTTTGTCACAAGAGCACTTTCTCTAATAAAATCCCTCCATGTTTAATCCACTTTTAGCATTCAGTTTTTCAAGAACTCAAGTGGAAATGTAGTATTCTGACAAAATCAAGTTCCTAAAAATCCCAGAGCTGAGAGCTGTGGCAAACTCAGTCGTGTTCATGCTGATGGAAGCTATTTCATTCACCATCCCCTGTACTGTGACTGAATCAGTGTGAGTGCCATTACCCTACTTTAAAATGGCTACAGGTAGGGTGAATATTAGACTCACTAGCAATAACCGGAAAGTGTAATACTTTGGATTTAAAGAAAAAAATGTAACTTGTTTAATACATTACTTAATAAGAAACTAGGAAAGACTCAGGGAGGTTGGCAACCATGAGAACTATTTTGAGGCAGAGAATAGAAGAATTTCTTTAGTACAGAAGAACTATGGTGGCAGCGGACAAGCTGCTTTTTGCATGAGTGTGGTGAGATGTGAGAAAAAGAATAGGACATCTAATAGCTTAAGGGTGTTTGGGTAGAAAGTAACACACTTCTACTTTTTTTTGTCATTTCTAAAATGTTTTGTCTTTTTTAAGTACCACAATTGGTTTTAGAAATATATTACTTGAAATAATGGCATGTACACTTACAATACTTTTCATATGTTCCGTTCCCTGAATGAGATCAAATTTACTCTATGAAAGAGTTTCCATGAGATGTACGAGTGTTCCCTTTCGCCTCTCAGATAAGGCCCTCCCACTGTGCTGGCATATGGTGAAAACAGTATACACAAGAAAAGCTGAGAGCAGAAGGATGTTTGGATGTTCCTAGAAAGGAATAAATGTGCACAGTTCGCAACATTAAATGTATATGCATACTTTCCAGTTACATACAGTCTTGTCCATCTGCTATGGTGGCATTTTGCCAAACTACAAATTGGGAAGATTATTTAACTTACATTTAGATGGCAGGTAATGGCAGGTGTTAATAGGCAACCTGGGGGTTCAGTCGGGGACCACTTTCCTGCCAAATCCTCTCCATTAAGACTCAGCAGGCACTGGTGCCACACATTTAAAACTGTGGCCATGGGCTGAGGATTTGCCTTAGTGGATGAAGGGCACTTGCTGTCAAGCCTGACAATCTGAGTGATCCTGGAAATCTACATGGCGGAAGGAGAGAGCTGACACCTGCAAGCTGTCCTTGCCCTCCACACAGTTGTCACGCTGTATGTCAGGTAGATACAGTGTGTGCCCAGTGCATACACATTTATACACACACTCTCATAAATAAGTACATGAATGTAAACAAAAAAATGAAGTTAAGATGTTAATCCTCTTGGGTTATAACAAAGAGAGCTGAAGAAATATCAGCCTCTACAAATCATAGCAATAAACAAGAAATTGAAATTGGATGTGGTTGCACAAGCCCGAAATTCTAGTACCTTGGAAGCCAAGACAGAGGATTATGAGTTACAGGCCACCCTGTGTTACAAAAGCAAAAACTAAATAAAAAGAAAATGTGGGTGCTGAGCTAATATCATACTTATAACTGAGCTGGAATGGATAGGAAATTTTAAAAAGTATTAGTAGAGATTATGTAATAAAACAAAAGATTAGGTAGCTTTACTGAGCCAATACAAAATGAGCTTTACTCAGCTCACACTAGAAATCAGAAAATCCATTTGCAAAATACAGTCAATGAAGAGTAAGTTAAGATTTACTAAGAATCTGCCCAATGAATGATTCTGTATAAAGTTCATATAAAAGCATTATAATAGTATTGTTGGAGAAAACAATATCAGAAATTCAAAATGTCTTTGATTCTGAACCTTAAACTTCTATTGATGGCAACTTCTGATTCCAAATGTCTTTTCCTTACTTCCTTGTTATCAAAACCTCATTATAAGCTATTCCAAAGTCATGACCAA